GGGTCCACGTGGTTGAAAGGGTTTGAATATTTCGTCCATCTACGGTAGTACTAGTAGTAGTAGTAGTAGTAGTAGTAGTAGTAGTAGTAGCAGGAGTAGTAGTAGTAGTAGTAGTAGTCGTGGTAGTAGTAGTAGTAGTAGTAGTAATGGTAGTGGTTTTGGTAGTGGTAGTACTATCATAGTGGTCGTAGTACTATATAGTGGTAGTAGTAGTCGTTGTCATAGTAGTGGTAGTAGTAGTAACCGGTCAGCTAAACCTCTGCAAAACTTCTAGTTAGAACCTCTACCACATCCTAGAAACAAGAACTGCAGCCCCGTTGTTGTTTTTGGGACCCCCACATCAAAAGGTGTTGTTGCCTCTACCTCCTCCTAGAAACAAAGACTGCAGCCCGTTGTTGATAAATAACCTGGTACTTTTGTAGGGTTTCTTTCTCATCCTGACCATAGAACCATGGGATTCAACCATGCTTGGGATGTTAAGCTCTCTTGGCTCAAGGGACTTACACTGTGATAGTTAGGGGTGACTTGAAGCAAATGAAGCAAATGAGTAAGTCCAAGGTCCAGAGAAAGAAGACGGTACGTGCTCAGCCACCACACAAATGTTCTTGCTGTGGCAAAGTGGGGCACAACATCGAGCAATGCCCTTCTCCAGCTGCAAAAGAGCTGCTACATCTACGAGCAGCAGTCAAGGGATTTTTGGAAGGTGCACCACAAAAGCGCATTAAAGGACGCGTGCCAGTGAAGAAGAATACAAAGTCAGAAGACTATAGGAAACAAGCTAAAGAGGAACAACTAAGAACACAGTTGGCAAAAGGAATCCACATCATCAGTCTTCAAGTTCAGTGGTGGATGGATGCTGTGCTGAAGATGTTGAAGCTTTATATAAAGGAGCTGGTTTCCTTTGGGTTTATTTGTGGCTGTGATAAAGGATGCAAATCCTGTGGTGCTGCGCTGGGTGAGGCAGAGAAATACAAAGCAAATGGCAAACTATATTTCAGATGCACATCTTGGAAGTGTCAGAAGAGGCACAATGTTACTGACTTCTCCCTTTTCCATGGTACACGTCTGAGCCTTGTTGATTTGTGCAGGGTCATCACTTTACAGCAGATCGCGCTTGATGGAAGCCCCATCTGTTGCTGATGCCCAATCCCAGCTCAAGTTGGCAAGAACTGCAGTTGAACACATCTATCAGGCGTTGCAGGCAGCAGAAGCCAAAGCAGGAGAAGCCATGTGCACAAACCTGAACCAGTCAAGACGAATGGTTGGAGTTGGAGACATTGAGGCAAACGCTCATGGACTTCGAAAGTTGTACGTTAGCCAAGCAAACCCTTGTTTTCAAAAGGAGGTGGCAGAAGCAGCTGTTCGCTACAAGAAGGCTAATCCTGGCAACCAACTACCTAAGTACTGGCAAGCACACTTTCGAGTACTTGGGCTTAAGGCCAGAACATACAACAGGCTTGTGGCAAAGAGAGGTGGCAAAACTGTTCTGAAAGTTTTGCCTTTCAAGCTGGTACCTCCTGGCGGCGCGCGCATTTGTGGACTTAGTGATCGTGGCTGGCGCAAGGGGAAACTTCGAGTTTCGCTGGTCTAAAGTCAACTTTTCATGGTAGGCGCAGGGTATCGGAGCGGTCTTATTTCCATGCAGAAACTTCGTGGCAGGCGCAGCACTTCTTGCATGTGCTTCAGGAACTGGGGAAAAGTGTATTCACAGAAGGGGATTTAACCATACATAGGGAAAATCACCTTAAGCAAAGCCGGCTTGGGCATGATGTCATGATGGTGCTCTGGTGAATCAGGACTTTTTTGGACATGTGGCTCGTTTTCAGACATCAGGGGAAGTCAAGGCTGCGCAAAGTGAATCTTGACGCGCAAAAACTGTGGCAGGCGCAGCACCCTAAGCAACCTGGAAGTCGTGCAGCTTTCGTGGCAGGCGAAGCGCATTGTGAACCTTGAAGCGCAGATGGTGTGGCAGCCGCAAGCACGAAGGTATGCTACACTGGAGTGGCGCCTTCCTCCTCTAAATTTACCCTTGGGCAGCTCACAAAAGGTACAGTATGCTACATTGGCCAGTGTGTAGCTCCTCCAGTGTCTGAAGCTGAAGTTGCACAAACCCTGCGAGGGGTCAAAATCAATAAGGTAGCGGTAGCGGCTTAGAAAAATGGCTTTGGGGTCAAAATGAAGGCATGAGTGGTCGAAAAAACATGGTAAGGTAAGGGGGTCAAAAATGGATGTGTAGAACAAGGCGTTGGTGATCAATAAAAAATTAGCAGGTCAAAAAAGAATGGTGGGGGGTCAAAAAAGAAGGATTGTGGGTCAAAGAAAAGGGTTGTGGGTCAAAAAAGGGTTGGGGGTCAAATTAAACAGTTCAGGGGCTCAGCAAAAATTGATTGGTCACAAAAACAGGGGAGCCCTTCTGGCAAAGTCGACCACTCACCGGCTTCCAAGCGGCATGGCTTGCGATGGTCTTCGCCTCACCAAACAATGGGGAAACTTCCTATCAAATGGAGTGAAGGATCAAGCCTATATGGGCCATCTGTTTCCGTTTCCAAGTCTTCAACACTCAAAAAGATTGGCGACACTCCTCCCATCAAGTTTCTGTAAAGCCCAAGACAGATTTAGGTATCAAACATGCAAATGTCACTGTTTGCCGAGCAAAGGGTTCCGATCCTGGGGAACATCTGTGGTACACCTGGATGGGCATATGATGGGTATATATCCCTTCAGGGCACGGTGGCCGACATCGCAGAAATATGGATCATCTACGACCGAATGTGACTGGTCAAAAATAACACACCCGGGTCCTTAACAAGGTAAACAATTCTAAAAACATACAAGGGCCCCCTAAGGGGTGTCTAATAATAGCCCCTTAGAGGTTAAGGGGTGTCTTCTAACCACCCCTTAGGGGGGCCTGGTAGGTGTATCACAGTGTCTCCTGACTGCTACTGTTACGGTGAACAAAACCACCAACCAAACACCCTTTGCCCTGCAGACGCTCTCATGGGCTCCCACGAGCATTTTTGGGTGTCCAACCGCCCGGAAACCGACGTCGGGGGCGTGGCGGAGCGATGCACTTGAAGGCTGGGAACATATGGAACCGACATTGGTCAACATTGATTTCAATGTCCTACATGGAAGAGGCTTTAAGATCCATATATGGCTGTGGGTCAAAACACGGAGCCCTAAACCATGGTAGGTTGACCAAGATCATATCTGGGGGAGGATGCGTTCCGATTAATCCAGAGTCTACATGATCAATGAGTCCAGGAGTAGACCAATGAGTCTGTGGCTCATTAGGCGAGACAAGACGATCGGATCGGTGGATGGGCGGACGTTTTTTTGACGTTTTTGTTGAGCCATAGAGCAAAGAACATTTGATGCAGTCAAGATAGAATCTCAATAGAATCATACTACAGTAGGCA